GATAAGCAAAGCAAACTAACCGTGCCAAGGACCTCGTCAGGGGGACCCACCCCTCCTTCCGAGTTTGGCGGCCGCGTTTACGCGGCGCCACACTTACTCTACGAGCAAGTGCCTATCGGCAACTGCGTTAGGTCACCAAGTACGTCGCGTTTTTGTAGATATTATAGATATTCTAGAAATCCTTAATTTTTCACAAATATAACGCGTTTTTTATGCCGCAAATTTATCGAATACGCCGTAAAGATAGAGGACGACCGCTCGTAACGCGTAAAAGACGCTATAGAATAGATTCTAGCCTATCCTAGCGCCTCGATATCTAAAGTCGCGCGTAAATTCGATATACCGAGAACGACGTTATCGGATCGACTAAAAGAAGTACGAGATATCGAGAATAACGGCGGCTATAATAAAGCGCTCTCGGACGCGCAGGAACTCGCTCTCTATTAAGTAATTAATAGGCTCTATCGATACGATATTCCTACGAAGCCGCGAATAGTTAGATCGATTACGCAGAATATTCTTAATAAGTCGCGTACTAAGATCGATACTAAAGTTTATAGACTAGAAGATAGGTAGCAATATCGATTCCTTTAGCGTTATCCTAAGTATACTATAAAGATAGGTCGACCTCTTACCGTCGAGCGTAGACGCGCGTACGATTCTAAAACCCTAAGAGGCTAGTTTCGTAAGTTAGTAGATATACGAGCCGAATACAATATTCTAGACTATAATATATATAATATCGATTAAATAGGATTTAGAATAGACTACGGTAAACCGTATAAAATCGTCGCTAGAGGAGACGAATACGTACGGCTTTTCGTACCTAGCCCTAATAATCGGGAGATATTAACGTTAACTAAGTATATCTATAGTAACGGTACTATAATTTAACCCTAGATTATTATATAGACGGCGACGATTCTCGAGAAGTATATCTTACTAAATCTTTATTTAGAGATCCTCTTATACGCGTCCGAGATAGAGTATTCGAGCGTCGAGCTTACGTTCGAGTAGCTAAAGTACTTTAATAGGTTAACTACGCGTAGAACGCGAGGCCTCTATCGACTCCTTCTCCTCGACGGGTTTATAGGGTACCTTAAGTTCGGCTTCGTTAGTTACTATTAGAATTATAAGATTATACCTTTTTCACTTCCTACGTATACCTCGCACTTTTACTAGCCTCTCGATATTATCTATTTTTAGCCGTATAAATACTAGTATAGCGAGTATATCGATAGAGCGATACGATACGGCGTCGAGAAGTTCGATAAATTAGATTTCCTATTAAATCTTATAGAGATAAGAAATAAGACTTTTAAGAGATCGATAATCTATAGCGCTTAGAAGAAAATAGGC